CTATCACTTTGCAAGACTTGTAATTGGACTATCTCTATCTAACGGACCCAACTGATTAGGTACCTCTCGCCTGAAGACGGAAACAGGGCCAGTTTCTGAAATGTTGTTTCTTTTTAAACAAGGGAGATGGAAAAAGTCCAGACAATGAATAATTTTAAGTGTAATCCACCATCGTCAGAACCCTTTTATGTTGAAGTGCCACTTCCAGTCTGAAACCAAACTAATTAGCAAACGGGTATTGTTCGGTGCCAAAACCCAAAAATATTTTGAGTATCGCCATCTGTTGGAAAGGACAGGTTGGCTGCTTTCTGCCATGTGAACAGTAACATACTGACAGATGAATTGTAAATGAGCATTGAGATATGCAGTAAACAGTGAAACGTATTGTAAAGTAATGGAGGAACGTATGAAGCCAGTTATTAGGTGAAAATAATTCAGATTTCTGTCCTAGGACATACGTCTGCATCATGACAATGCACATCAACGTATCTGTCAGTGACAGTTGCAACACTGAACAACTGTACATGGATGTTTTCCCGCACCCATGTTATTTAATAGACCGTGCATCAAGTGCTTTTTACCTCTTTGGAAACTTAGAAGTGGCATTCAATGAAATTCACTGTTCTTCTGTTAAGGAAAGTAATGAAAAACTGGTTTCATGATCAACCCAAAATAGTTTTGTAACTTGAATTACCCTAGTTTATGTGCATGCAGGCTATGTGTGGAGAGTCAGTCAGTCTCTGAAATCTTGAGTTTTATTCAAAATGAATATAACTGCTCAACCAAACGGTTTGTTGCATTAGTTGCTGTGAAAATTTTGGATTAGATATTATTTACACCTTATAAGTAAATCTGTCCGACTGTGCGCCATGTAGGCACATGGGGGGAGAGGACGTATAGCTCCTACGCATTCTTGACCTCAGCTCTAGATTGGGGTGAGTGGTCAGCATCACGTCCCGGCTGCGCTTAACCCCCAGGAAAGGACCCCGGTTCCTGGCTGCGCTTAACCCCTAGGAAAGGACCCCGGTATCCATTGGATAGGAGACTGGGTGGGCCCCAGAACTGGTCTGGACTTAGAAGCTGGAGAAAAATCCTCTGCCCCCATTGGGGATTGAACCCTGGTCTTCCAGTCCATAGCCAGTCACTATACTGATTGAGCTATGCCGGCTCATTTTGGAGATGAAAATGACCTTTAAAGAGGTTTTCAGAAGACTGAGACCGAAACAGGTTAACAAGTGGCCCAACACTTTGACTGCTAAATGATGATGATGATGATAACATATGCAAATATGTTTTTCTTTTTCCTATAGGGAGCGAACCAGAACCACAGTGTTGCCACCAATGGACCTGCCCCCGAGCCATCTATTAATGAGGTTAGTAATTAATTTTATCCATTGCTTGACTCTAACGTCATATGGGAAGAAAGAATTGTTTCATTATGTGCTGCTAAGTTATTACAGGCAAGGACAATTTGAATTATATTAAATGACTAGCTGAAACTAGAATGGGTGATGCACAGAAAAATCACTGCTCATAATCTGTTATTTATGGTACTTGTTATATATTTGCTAGTCATCTGAACCCAAAATTTGTTCTTAAAATGTTTCTAAAATATTATTTCTGTATTTAAAATGGAATGCTTACTCTTTGGTGTACTTATAAATTTTGATGTAAAATGTAGTTTATTAAATGAGATTACAAGTTGAAATATTTGATCTGACATGGACATATAAATGAAGATTTTAGTGGCCTGTAGAATGTATTTACTAGTGTCCGTGCACAACCTTATCTGGCTTCTCATTTCAATTTGAAACATCATCTTCAGACGTAAGTTTATGTAACTGGGTGTCATACACATATCTGTGTGTGCACACATGCATGTGCTAACAGGAAGCTACACCATTTTGTACCATATTAAAAATATAAATGCATATACAGGTAGCCCTCGATTTACGCTGGGGATGGATTCCTGGACGAACCAGCGTAAACGGAATTGGCGTAAATTGAAACTCTTTTATAATGTAAATCAGTGGGAAGTCAATGACATGCGTTCCCAGCACCCAAACATTGACGAGTAATATAATGGCATTACATTTAAAGCTCTGAAATAACGTAAATAAAATCCTGGTACCTCCGCAGAGATTAAAATAGTCCTTTGAAAGTTTAAAGCACCAGGAATGAAATTGCATAAGAGCAAACTCGCATATGCAAAAGTTTACATTTCACAAACAACTTTTAGCGATTCATCGATCTCATTGGAGCAAATTCGCGTTAACGAAACATACGTAATTGCAGAGATGACTGTATTTATAATTTTTATTCAAAATCAGCGCTGTAAGAATTACTATTTTGTATAAGTATCGGTACAAGATACATTGTAAAACGTTATAAATAATAGTAAAATATATTTTTTTCACTTTTTGACTTTCTGGTTTCAAAATCGGCGCAAATCGAGGGCTACCTGTATTAAAACCATTCACGTCAAAGTTCACCCACAAATTCATATTGCATGAAACTATTCACTGGGCATTGCTTTATATCATATACAAAAGTGCATGCAAATCATTACATTCACTATTTTTATAAGAAGGTCTTAAGCTTGATCTGCTAGCATTTGCATAACAGACTCAGCTATTTTATAGATCATATTTGTGTTGGTTTACATCCCGCCCAAATAACATCACAGCTCATTATTTCTGCTTTATTTTTTCCCCAGTTTCGTATATCTTTTACAAATGCTACTGGGACAATTTGTAATCCTGTTTCCATTTATTCTTTTTTTGGAAAAGTTTATCTTCTGAACACATTTGTTGTTTCTTTCATAATATTACAGGAGAAATACTGGTTTGTGGAAACAAGAAACATAACTGGCAATAATAAAATTTGCCACACAGACACAGACAGACAGACAGAGGTTTCACAGCGTCTCGTGTCGCCTTCCGACCCCCAAATTTCTTCTCCACTAAATTCCATTCAATCTTCTGATTGTGGTTCTGCCACACTCTGTTCATTGCTTTATTTCATGTGTATTTTTCCCATCTTTACATAGTTTTATTCCCAGGTATTTGTATTCTTCGCCTGATAATATTGTTTCATCATCTTCCAAATGTAAGTTTCGTGATGGACCTCCAATGCATAAATACTTCGTTTTGTCAATGTTGATGTTAAGCCCCCATTCTATGTATTTGTCTTTCAGTTTCTGTGTCATGTATTCTCACTATAAGCCATTATGTTAAGGAACAGATGTGCAAGAACATGGCCCCCTCTGTCTGTAATCTGAAGGTGAACCTTCAAACTCAAAATCTTGTGAAATAATTATGTATATCGAAGTTTGCGATTAGATAGACCACTGAATGCAAGCAAACTATGTTTTGCTGAATCATGCCAGTGTGGAACACAGAACTAATTAAATGTATCTCTTTAATTCATATACCACCGTCAAATACAACTGTTTAAAATTTGCCATGTAGACCCTTCATGAACCTTGCCATAATCTGGATCAAGCAGAGTTGACGGAAGATAAGCCGATTCACTAAACAGACATCATGACCCTCATTATGCAATTTTCTCCAGCCTCCTTTCATTTTCTTCATCTTAGATACAAATATCTGTAGAAGTCTGTTTTCAGACATCGTTAATCAGTGTTGTTCCCTTACTGTGAGAAACCATGTTTTACACCCATACAAGACAACAGATAAAATTAAAGGTGAGATTTCAGGATCTCTTGGTGGCAGGTAAAAATACAGTTCTGTATACTTTAATCTTTACATTTTCAGATAACAGATGAATGTTTTGTGTGTGAGAAACATGATCTCTCTCTCTCTCTCTCTCTCAGCAAGGAACATAGATTTAATACAATGAACACAAAAAACATTGAATGTCTGTGTTTAGTTTGACTTGGTACTGTGAAAATTTTTGTGGAATATCCAAAGTTTGTGACCTGTTTTCTTCAACAACTGTGTATTGCTTTACTGAGAAGTTACTGTACAGGAAAAGAAATGTGCTGTTGTACTTATACAGTCGCACTTCTGTCACTGTTGCGTTGGTAACTGAATGTCTTAACTGGCCTCTTACCCATCATCTGATTATGCTACTGTAGCCACAGCTGTGCTAATGGTCTGTTACTATTTCCCATTTACTAACTTGCTTGCCAAACTTTCAGTCCCTTACCACATCACCACAACCTTTGTCTGAAACATCTATGTTGGAGAAACGGCCCAAGATTAAAAAGAAAAAGGTAGGAGATGGAATGAAATTTCCCCCTACCAGTAAATTGTTTGCATTATAAATGTTTTACTCTTTGAGTTAGCACCGATTGAGTAGCAAGTACAAAATGTTTTGCATGGCCTTTGAACTAACGTAACAGAGAGAGTGGAACGATATTGTTGTTTTGCTTGTACCACCTGTGCAACTCTCTCCTACCTCGCTGTGCTACTTGGCTGTAACTTCTTGTTTCCAAAACAGACGACTAGGGAAGCTTCTGCTGAGCAATGGAGGTTTACAGGTAACTTCACCAATTACTAAAATGTCGCTGGAAATGGGAAACAGTTACGTATGTCACATAAAATTCCTTCGTAATATGTTAA